TGTAAAAGAAACAGACAGACACCAAGGCTCAGAAAGGGTATGATGAGTACTGTGAAGGGGTCGAATATGATATGCAGTGGGATGATGGTAGTTTGAAGTCAGAAGTCAACTGTCGATTGATAGACTTTTTGCCGTATGATTATACGTTGCCCAGGGTGCACCGTTTTTTGCCGTATGATTATACGTTGCCCAGGGTGCACCACATCGAGGTAAGTCTATCTCACACCCCCATTTGAAGATAAGTAAAACGATCTTAACCTCTCGAAAAATTAGGTAGATACAACTTCAATTGCTATGTTCAATCGAGGTGAATAATTTATTTATAACAGAATCGGAATATGCAATGCAAATTTCCAATGAGTTTGCAATGCTTCCTACTTCCATTTGACCGAAATATGGTTCTCTAAAGGTCTAATTGGGTAATATGTGTGAACATCTTTTTGTGCTTGAAAGCGTAATTCAAAATATCTTTGGGAAAAGTGGGAAGTTAATCGTTTGAGTTTTAAGTTACCTCTACTCAATCCACAAACCTTTTGTTTGAATAAGGCCAATGACACTTTTGCAATACAAATAATTTAAAGAAAGAGCACTTTGAAGAACATGACTACTTATTAATATAAAAACTTCCCAAGCCTTAATAAGAACAAGATCTAAAACGAATGTGTTTGAATGGTGGTGGGGTCGAATATGACATACAGTGGGGTGATGGTAGTTTGAAATCAGAAGTCAACTGCCGGTTTATAGACTTTTTTGCCTTATAAGCATACGTTTCCCAGGGTGTACCACATCAAGACAAGTCTATCGCGCACCCCTCATTCATGAATATTGATTCCATACAATAGACTTTTCACAATCATTGTTACCTCTATCCCATTGCTTCTTCAAGATGTTTTACAATAGCAGTCGTATTTCGAGGTCTTCTTCCTCTTTGAATATGTCCCATGAGCTTGAAAAGGTGATAATGAGATGAAATGATGTCTGAGGAGTGTGGGCAATGTGGTAGAAACCAGCAATTTTTTAGGGCCCAATTTTTGTTTTTTGCAGGAACCGGTCTTGGCATTTAGAAGAAGTATCCTCTTCCTCCTGATTTAACTGGTAGGTTTCTTCTAATTTCTGGTTTACTTTTACTAAGTCTTTTGACAAAAATTTCGTCTGTTTAAACTTTTACGTAATGGATTATCTCGCACATGTCCTTGCAAATTCATGTAAGAAGTTTCCGAATGGCCAAGGGAGCGGAATGAGTGTTTCATCAGAAGAAATCATTACTTTTTCCCAATAAAATTGGCGTTAGCAACTAAATTCTTGTCCCAAGTAGAAATTCTGGTGATAAAGGACGAATTTCGTGTTGTAAAGTAAACAATGGAATGCATATGGTTCTACGCTCATCGTTATTTTCAGTGGGATAGTTGACGCGGAGGTACCCAAATTCTTATCCCATTCAATATGCTCATGTGATTCAAGTGTGCTTGTACAGTTCACCAAGGTCGTGTGATTTTCTGCGTTGGTTAAATGAGGATCTAATTCCACCAGGGATTTTAATTAGTCATGACCGGGATGTGTCCGCTCCCTCCCCCCTGTCTTTCCTCATCACTTAAATTGCAATTGACTGATCGATATCTCTTCTTAACTAGGACTGACGTCAGAGGATCGCAAGCACATGGCCATGCACCTCAGTAGGCAGGCGTGCAACCACTGATGATTAAAAGGCAGCATGCAAAGTCTGTTTCACTTTTTCTCAGCCTGCTTCCTAATTGGACAGTTTTAGCCATAACCATAAGGTGATATCCTTTGTTCGAATAATGTTAAAATTTGGCCAATTAAGAAAATAACTTCGAGTAGCTTCCATCACTGTGACTGGACATAAAGTAACCTCAAAAATAGATTTCCGAAATGTGCATTTGCTTACCGCTGCCTAATATATGACTGCTATTAAGAAGCAGTAAAAAGAAAGTTGTAACTCTCCCAAATACAAATATATCACGTCTTAATTACATCCCTTTAGAATTCATACTGTTTTAACGCACACATAAGTGACTTTTAATTGTGCGAACTGTTAGAATGCAAATTATCTTTATGCTCTTTTGCAATTTTAACTACCAAGTAATGCACAGCATGCTGATTTGTCAGACGGATCATCTTTGTTTCAATACACAGATAAAGAGCAAACTCTTCCTAGAAAAGCACATTTGCATGCTTAGGGGTGATAACAAACTGGTAGCACTAACTCTTTCAAATGGCATGCCTAAATAATAAACTGACTTGCACTTATTTTATTTGAACTCTACTTTATGTAAGTGTCTATGGAGAGCAAACTAACACCAACAGTCACTTGACTTAACCGCAAACCAATGTAGGGAATAAAATTGGTATATGATGCAACTTGATATGCAAATAGCTACCAACTACTAAGATCAAGCTTTTCCCACTAACGTTTAGTATTTCTCCGCGTTTCTAATCAAAGTGTCCAGAACGCCAACAAAATGAAAATAGTAAGAAGTTTTTGGTTTTTACAAAAAGGTGAAAGAGCGATTTTATTGTCATTATCATGGGCAAGAGTACACAACGATACTTCCATCACCCCCCACCGAGAGAAGTCTGCTGCCATCGTTGTTGTAACGTACCGACCAAACCTAAAAAGAAAATGCTACACGTTAATGTTCACAAGATGTCAGAGAACTTTCGTCGACTTATTAATCACGATAATACCACTGAAAACCTGAACCACTTATTATTAACCGCGCTAACCCCTCCTCCATCGACGCAAAATACCGCTCACCAAAAATTTAACTATCTAGAGTCAACATCTGTATAACATACCTGATCCTCGTGGCTGCTAGATTGATATTCTTCAGCTTTCGCAGCGATATCCCAAATTCGAACAGTCCTGTCGGCGGAAGCAGTGGCCAAACGCTTACTGTCGGGACTGAAGGTGGAGGATACTACCCAAGAGGAATGTCCTTGAAGGCTGGAAACAACAAGGCGGCCGTCACGACTACAAGAAAAGATTATCAGCTAAGAATGGGTTATATTATGAAGATAATTCCTTATCCATTTCTCCATCTTAAGACAATCCACCCGAGACAGCTTAAATGCTTATTTTAACATCCAGCTGTTCATTAATTTTGATGCATAATACCCGAAAAAAGGACATGTAAGTGTGCTACTTGTAAGCTTTCGGAGCCTAGGTGATAACACGAGGTTACGAAAAGAGAGCGACTGATTTTAAGGTAAACAAATGAAATAGCTAAAGTGTATACTAGAAATGTTGTGACTGCACGCTGTATCTAGTTGTGGACGGGGGGAGGGGGTGGGGGAGAGGAGTAAATTGATAAACCGCTAATCTCAATTCGGCGGCGGCGGGGGCTGTCAATGACAGTCCTCTAATAAAGAATGAATTATTTGTTCAGTGAACTGCTGCTGGCAAGGCTTCAAACCGCGGCATCGTGTATCAACGCGGAGCACATGACACACAAGTGGTAATTCAAGAATGATATTAAGACTTAGGATATTGATATACTACTCATCTTTTTCAGCAACTCGCCAATAAAATTGTAGATTTACGCATCATCTATAATCATGAATTTGTGTTCATTCGAACGAAGAACAATAATTGTGTGTCGAATTTATGAGCTAGATTGTGAAAAGTGAAAGTTTTGGTCCACCTATTGGACTTCAAATACGATTGGTGGCAGCATGTCCACCCAATATCTCCAATGTCTTCACAACAAACGAGAAGAGAGTGGCTTACGATTTCACACCAACGTAGGCGACGCTCATTCCATGTCTAGTCGAGAGTTGGATTTCCGACAATAAATAAGAGAAAGACAAAAGACAAGATGTGATGACAAGGATAAATCGAGGAGCAACTTAAAGCAATCCTTAGTGATGGATAAAGATAGTTCACACTAAAAGTTTCGCCAAGTAAGTGCCTAACCCCCCCCCCCACACACACACATAGATCAAAGATTAGACTTAAAGGAAGCTCAGAATGGCTCATCTGGTCAGTACTCCATAATCTAATGTAAATAAGTGAAACCAGCCAATGTTCTCGTAAGGTGTCAACAAAACATCTAATGAGCAATTCGAGTAGACAAAATACTGAACTATTCGAAAAATGAGAAATTCGTACACATCGTACTCCGCAAAAAATACCTGGAACTAACAACTATCGGCAGTATTTAGTATGGACATAATTAGTCAGATCAAGTGAAACTATAATTTCTAAAACATGTGCCAATGGAATAGATTAAAGACAATTCAAAGAACAATAATCATATAAAGTATTTTCAATAATCCATTTTCCTAAAAGGGGTACAGGAAATGAAAGATACTGTTCTTGTGGACGGGAGGAATTGTAGTCTTTTTAAAGCATCAATGTTAACTAAATTACCAGTGGATGCCTACCCTTACGTTGCCAAAACGACTGAAGGGAAGATTTTGTAAGGAGTAAATAAGATGGTAATGGAAAAGGGTCTATCGTACTTCCTATTTCAAACTAACAATGCATATAATTTTATTAGATGTGCTCGAGAGAACCGGATTTGAAAATATCAACAACTATTAACATACAGTGGTGAAGTATGGATAAAATATCTGTCTGTGTTTAGGAATGTATTGAGAGCACCAAATATTGGAATTTACTGGCAAGTATCAAAATAGAAGCTAGACTGTGTGCGAGTAATTAGTGTTTTCTAAAATGATGGATGATATTTAACTTTACAGCCAAGTTGTTTTTCTCCTATGAATTCGTAAATAGCTACTGTTGTTAATTTGACCCCCCCCCCCACCTAGAAGGGAGGGTTTGAAAGGTAGGAATAGGGTCTAATTAAGCGCCACAAGAATTAAATAGGCACTCATCAACATGGAGTCTAATGACAGCTAGTGAGGCTATGTCAATTGAGACAACTTCTGATAAGTCAGTAGATTGCATTCCTGATTGAAAAGGTAACAGATCTAGAACGCGAAACACCTTGAGTTAACTAGCGCTGATGACATACAACTCAAATAAGAAAATGAATAGGGAGGTGGAATAACTTACGCGTCATAGATGCGAATCAACTTGTCATCAGCTGTGGAAGCTACAAGACGACCGTCATGTGAGAAAGCAACAGAGCGAACAGGAGTGGCATGGCCGTCCAGTGGAAGAATTGCCCCCGAACGCAGATCCACAATACTCACAATCCCAGTTATTGATCCGGCTGCTATACGTGCACCGTCTGGACTCTGGCACGAAGAGGAAAAAGCGATGGTAGAACAAGAAGCGATGTAACATTTTTTCCTCCAATAATGTACTACGATTGACATCCAAAAATGGGGTGGATTTATTAGATATTTGTAATAAATAATCCCTTCCCATCAACTTGCTTAAAGCCAAATCCCCTCTTTCATGTAGTCGTTCTGACAGTCTTCTACCCATTAGAGGGCAAATTGATATTAAAATGCCCTAGAGGGACACACATGATCGATAAATCATTGCAAGACAAGGCTCTCATTACGTCCACTTTGAGAACGGATTCATTTGTTCGAATAAATTAATAATTACGCCTTCAATGCAATATGCTTCTAAAGAAACGAGATTTATACATGTCTCATTTTCTAAAGACTGAATCACCCCTGGAGCTATCTTCAAAATATCATACATTAAAAGTGCTTATCATACATTAGGCGCTTGCGTTAAGACCAATGTAAACACGCAATTTGAGGTACCACCTTGAAGTTAGCTATCAAGGTTTACATCACTTAAACCAATTACAAAAAGAGAGTGGAATGGGGAAAAAGTTTAAAAAATGCAGAACAGGATGTCCGATTCACCACAAATCAATTCAATCAATACCCGCATCATAACGGGAAACACGAACTGACTTACTAGTTTTAACAAATGATAACCTTTAAGCCCTTTTATTTTGAATAAATAAGGGGTGCGCGATAGACTTACCTCTACGTGGTGAATACTGGGCAACGAATACTCATACGGTAAAAAAGTCTATAAACCGGCAGTTGACTTCTGACTTTAAAATGCCATGACCCCACTGTATGTCATATTCGACCACTTCTACAGTACTCACCTCACCTTACTCTTTTCTCTATCATTGCGCCTGTCTTCTTTACATCTGTGAATCACTTTTCTGTTCACCCTCTCCACCTTTTGTGACTTTGTCTGTTCCTCCTCTCTATGAAGCCCGAAGTCAGCTTAAGGGCTAATGATAACTATCATAAAGCCTAGCATTTGAAATAAATTAATTTCGGATAGATCATAAGTATAGGTAAATATTGTCATAATTACCACAGACATGAAATTCGTATATCTCGTGGAAATGCATGAAAAAAGACGACAATAGACTTTGGCAGATTAAGCCGGCTTGATTCGCCGGCGTAAAAAGCAAATTCACATACGATTCGGCGGTGGTATTTAAAAGTGCGCGCACACACAAACACCAGTGGTCAGGCGCATAAATTATGCTTAATGGTGGGGCCTGGAAACAAAAAAGCATGCAAAAGAAAACAATAAAAAAGAATATCTATAATTTCGCGCCAATTTACTGATTTGATTTGGTTCGAAAAAAAGAATGAATGAACTGATTGCCCAACCCAATAAAATTTCATGACATCGCAAAATAGTGGTATTATTTGCCAAGTGAAAGGATGCATTAATTAATTACAGATTCGGAAAAACAACGCCCTTATATTTCGAAGCCTAGGTCCCATAAAGAGAAAGGAATAATTTAAAATGAAAAAAATATACAAGCACGGAGCTTAGATTATTCAAACGAAACCTTCAGAAAAATGAAGAAAATGAAATAGTCAGTTAAGATTTTTGCGTTATCTAGTATAACTAAATAAAACTTTCAAGACATTGCAATGTAAAGACAGCGATTCAAAATTATTGCAACACCATTTCTGAAAGCTCCACAGACGCCCTTAGTGCTTAAGTGGGCACAATTTAGTAGTAAATGGTAAAATGTAGGAAAAGTTTAACTCATAAATTCGAAAACAATGCGGAGTTAAGGATTAAAGAGCAGAACAAAAACAATGCCATCAGAAAATGAAAGTTAGAATGAATTAACTTAATGGAACGACTAGAGAAGTTGTGAGATTCAATTAAATTAAAAAAATCAAATGGTATTTACGTTGGAATGTAAAAAGAACCACTCTTCACTTAAATTAACCAATAAATCAAATTGAAAACTGACTTGCAATAAAGCTTCTGGCATGCTAACCCACAATCTCAATGAGTCGATATCGATTTAATAAGGCCAGAATAAAAAGTCAAAAAGCAATCGAAATAAATACCCCCCCCCCAACCCTCCTTATGACTTATGAGTAAAGTCGGAATTCGAAATCCGCCTGAATAATAGCCAATTCACTTTTTCAAAAAGTAAACAAGAGTGAGCGTGTTCAATCATGTAAATAAACTTACAGCGCCCATAGAATGAAGATTGATATAACTCACTCGCCGTGCACGTCACTGTAAAGTAGCAAATGTGGTCATTGGTACAAAAATGATGGCGAAAATCACACTACTTAAAGACCCATATTTTGCACAAGAAATTGAATAAAGCAATTGACATGATAATTGTATTCACCCCCGAGAAAAGTGATGTGCATGTGTGCAATCACGTGCTCAGAGGCAATAATATGATATAAACAGGTTCAATTTAAAGGCCAAGGTTAATTCACATGTTTATAAGAGGAGTTTAAAGTCCACCAATCCAAACTCAGAAACAATGCCTGTCCCCAAAACTTAGACTTCAATTTGTAGTTTGCCAAACGTGGGCACACAGCTGGCTAAAAACGAACATACTTTATCCGCACCGTAAAGTCTCATAAATCTTTCGCCCAAGGATTGCTCTACGAAACGCTCAGCAGCTTGAGCATAGAATGGGACATAGTGGTTAGAAGGAAAAAGCGAAGATGTTAATAAAACGATAATGCCCTCTGGTTGAAGTCTTCCATTCGCCTGAGATCGAAGACCCAATAAGTTGGTTGACCTACCCAAACCTAAAGGGATGAGAGTGTTACTCAAAAGATCGGTAATTAAATCCATAACACATGAGTAAGTCCATCATGAAATTCGAGCGATTTAATGGGTGCTATTTTTTAAATTTAAGGCCCCTAAAAGAGATCAAAATACAACGAAGTTCTAAAAGCTTAACAAAGCCCCCCTATAACATGAAATCTGATATTGAAAAGGGTGGTATTAAAATTTTAAGTTGAGAATTAAGCGCAAAGAGGGGCACAGTAACACAAACCTATGGTTGCAGGGGCATGTGGGCATTAAAGCGGTAGGCATTTGCCGAAAGGAGGGTCACAAGATGATGAAAGAGCAAACATTCCCCAAAATAAATAAAAGCATGTGATAAAACTTGAAACTGAACGAAAACTTCTAAATTATACAAATTATGCCTGCATAATCTAAGAGAATCTTGTGGTAGGAATAAAAGTCCATTCAATTCAAAACCCTAATAGCGACACGTTCTTTGCGAAGCGAGTTACTATTAGCATCAAATGGATAGTTATTATATTTATTGCATCGGGAAAGGAGTACCCTCCCCCCCCCCTCCTCCTCCTCCTCCAACATAGTCATCAGAAGCCCGAAATTTGTGCGCATTCCATGGAATATAAAGTAATGTTTTCAGGCACTAGAATTAGTATTGCAAGGAGAAACAAAACGAGTAGAAGAATAATTGAAAAATTTATTACACTGAATTCCAAGTTTAATCTCTCTCTCTCCCCCTCTCCAATTGGATCGAGAATTTCAAATGGCGTGCCAACTAAAAGTCTTGAAAAGAAGAGTATTGAGCTGATTTGGACAGAGGTTGGGGGGAGGGGTTAGGTGACTAAAGTCTAGATCAATGAAAGTATCAAGAGAAAATAAGAGCAGCTACAGGAACAGCAGGCGTTTACAATCTGCGAAGCGCTATAAGGAAAATAGGCAACTCACATAGGCGAGACAGTAGATGAATTTGCCATCCAGAGCGATGGAACTCTCCTGCTTGTGCGACTCAACGCCGATAACGTGGATGGTGCCGGCATTACTGCCTGTAGCAACGAACCGCGAATCGGGAGAGAAGGCTACTGACCACGTCTCCGCGGGCTCCCCTTCAAATACACTCAGGAGTTTTTGTGATTCTAAGTCCCAAAATATGATCTAAAAGTGGAGAAATACAATCAATCTAAACTTGCGCCTAAATTGTTAAATTTTGAGAAATGTAGTACTTTTCGAAATCAGATACTTGGGAAGCGATATTTCCATAGCCCTCGTGTTAAACCACTTTAGTAACGAAAATAAATCTGGATATGAGTTTCATTTAATTAATTACATGAACGACCTCTACATCTGAATCAATATCCAAGTAATCGACTACTTATTTTTACCAAAGATGGCCTCGATGTCGTCACAAAGTTCAAGTCGAAAATATTCCGTCTACTGTTAAATTATGAGTAGAACGAATATAGATTAAAAACTTGCCTGGTTGTCAAGACTGGCTGAGGCAGCTATAGTACCGGCTTTGTTGATGTCAACTGAAACGATGCCTAATCGATGGCCATCCAGCGGTGCGGAGAGCTCTAGCTTTTCATCATTCCTATGGAAACAAAAAATGTATACGCTTAGAAACTATTCTGGGAATGCAAAGTCATTGACAAATCACTTTTAACCGAACCAATGATAAGTGAAAGTGAATTTTAGTTAAACTAAATAACTTACCGGCATAATATTACTGGCGGGAGTATCGCCTTTAATACTATTCACTTAGTTCATGTTTTGTAACTGGCGATATTATCACCTTAGAGTATTATAAAGGCCTCCGTAATCTTTTGATCACTAATGAGTCTGAAGATAATTAAAAGAATAGCTGACGTGGAATCTGCAGCAATATCACCTTGCAAAGGTTGTTAAGGGATGGGTGCATTTATGTCCCCTAAAGTATGCCGCTGTTAACTAAGCTACGCACCTAGAGGCAAGGGAGGACGTGAGCGAATCTTTTATTTATTTTCACTATTTTTTTCGAAAACAAAGGCCGCATATAAAAGGACTTTTTGCCCAAGGAAATTGTAAACAAGGCAATAAATAGTCTTAAAGCATGAAAGATAAGGAAAATATTGAGGATTCACAGTAGAAATACCGAGAAACACTCTGAGTAGAAAGAGTAGTTCTTCAAAACACTTGCATTCGTATTCCTTAATAACTCTCTCAAAAATTTCCAACGAAATGGAAAGAGGAAATTTGAGCAGGAGAATTGTTTAGGTTAAGTGGAAAAGAAACACTAAAATCCACTCGTGAATAGCTTAGCGAATAGAATGTACACATTGCAACTCAAAATCCCAGAAAAGCATTAAGACTCACGATCGTACAAAAAAAAAGAAATAATGAACAATCGCAAAAGACAAGTGCAAATTTATTGATATGGAATGAAATTTAAATTGCTCTAAAACGAAATGTCCTGATTTTTATAAAGAACACAAATTTTTAAACAGTTTATCAAAAAAAAACATTGGCATAATAAGTTAAACAAAAAAAGCAAGACGATGATAAAGCCAAAGGAGATTATATATTTGTTACAACCAGGAAAATGTTTTCTCCACACCATAGTGGAAATAAAATGGAGCAAATGAGTTGAAGAAGTAAAAACACATACATACATAAAATGTCGGACGCAACAGTACTACACAAGGGGGTGTGTGATAGACTTACCTCCACGTGGTGCACCCTTGGCAACGTATAATCATACGGCAAAAAAGTCTATTATTCGGCAGTTGACTTCCGACTTCAAAACACCATCACCTCACTGTATGTCATATTCGACTACTCCCACAGTACTCACCTCATCTTTTTCACTCTACCTTTGTGTCTCTCTCTTTAACATCTTTGAAATACTCTTCTGTTCCCCTCCCCCTCCTCCTCTCGACTTTTTTTCACTTTGATGTTCCTTCTTCTCTGTGAAGCCTGAAGTCAACTAAAGGGCTTATGATAACTATCAAAATGCCTGCCATTTGATATTAATTAATTATTACAGTACTACACAAATTACAACGAGACGTCTTGCCGCCAATTGGTTAGACAAAGTCCTTATAGTGCATAAAATCCAAGAGGTACGAATTGTGCAAAACAGTTGGCTACCATCACACAATTTTAGGAATCTTGCAGCCTGTTGCTACTGCCTAACCTATTCAACTGAGATGATTTCTGTGGGTGCACAGAACTCCCTTCCTCATTCACACAATAAAATACACAACCGCATAAAGAAAAAAAAACATTTTTAGAATCTTTTAAGTTACTAGAGTTCATCTTGTTTCGCCAGCAACCAACATTACGTGAGGATTCTAAAGAGCAAATTCGTTCCACCTCAGTTCGAGTCCTTTGCCCTGGACTACTTCATAGTTGTTCTATCTATTCTAACTCTTTCCCTAAAAGAAATATCACACACTACTTTTACCAATGGTTCCAATCAAAAGTAACTCAACGAAAGAGGTAGACTTCAGTGCCCTGATTTTCTGCTTTACTTCCCAAGAGGAAGTGGAAAAATGTCCTTAGAAGAAGACAATCAGTGAAGGAGAGGAAGAGAGAGAGAGAGAGAGTGGATTTCTGAATTTCAACTTTCTTACTTGCTCAAAGGAAAGCTTCAAACGCGGAAATAAAAGAGCCTGTGAGGAGCAGAATTTGGAGTGATTGGAAGAAGACTCCTTTTATAGTGCATGAAAACGAGGATCTCCCTCCAAGATTAGATATACCTGACACCAACTTCATGTTAAAATACAACTGCAAAATATTGTTTTGAAATAAAAATTAACCCCTGCATTTATTTCAAATATGCAAATAAAGTTTGACATAAGAAGATATGGCAACAGGAGCAGATGAAATGGATTCCAATGCATCCATTCAGTAACTGCAATAGAAAAAAGTTTTACGGAAAATTGCGGTAAAGTGACGAATAGAAATGTTAGGCTTATTCAAATCGATTTTTTCTATTCAAAAGAAGTGTTTTCAGGCGTTGTAGCCGGAGCTACTGATAGAGAAAATTATGTCTGTCAAGGCTCTTAACTAATAGGACAAGAGATAGAATTTGAATCTATCCAGAGACCCGTCTCCCAGTTAGGCCCAGTGAGCAGAACCAACTTATTTAAAAAGAATGCTAACCGATCTTTAAGCTGTTTTTCTTCCAACCGGAGGTCTGTGACATTTAACAACCTCAGGACAATTGAGAGAATGAAAATGCCCGATTTTGCAAATCTAATAAACTATTTGGTTGTCTTTCACAACAAAGAACAATTATACCAAATGCGAAAAAAGAAATAGAAAGATGATCTCGTAGTAAATAGAAAGTAAAAGTCAATACTCCGAAAGAGGAGGCATAATGGAGAGTTAGCCCGATGTGCAAACGAAAAGATCTACTTGAAGTGCCCCAATTGTGCTGCGATTAACATGAACATCCTCGAATTCAGAGGTCTATCGGTGAACACACAAACACAATGAGATGGATAGGGTACGTTGGGATAATAAGAAGGGGATGGACTCAAGATGAGTACTGGAAAACGCCTTTTTTTAATACAAAGAGAGTCACACACCGCTTAGCAAAACATTTCCACTGTCCTATCAAATGTGATGATAGGAGGTAAAGGATATAAGTAAAATGAGATGGTGGAGAAAGAAAACCTGACAAAGATTCAGATTGCCAAAGTCCCACTAAATAAAACCTCATTATCTAATAGCCCAGGAATATTCAAACTAAACTAACAGATATAGCTAAGGAAAAGTGGTTTTGATTGACAGGCTCTAAGCAGAATCCAGCTGACAGCAATCACAGGGATAGGAGAGGAGGAAGGAGGGGGGGG